CCTCAATGTTGTCAGATCAAACATCATATTATATGGTGCTGCATGGTTGGACCAGTGGAACTCCATGGCAGATTTAATCCTATTAACACCAGTGGGAACAAACCATCTTAATAAAGAGATTCAATATTACCAATTTTTGATAGGCCTCCTATACTAACCAAAACTATCGATTTTGTTTTTCTAAAACAAGTTTTACAATAGTGTCTGAGCGGTAATTTTGTTCACTCTTACCTCTGCAAGATGTTTCTCCCCCTGTCCATTCGCCTGTTGATGCACACCTTCTTTGGCTGCTTCCAACTAGGACGAAATTTTCATTACACGTAAACCGAACAACTTGGTTTAAGTAAAAACGATCACCTATAATTTTTCCATTGGTAGGTGGATATAATTCTGGACATTTGATAACTATGGGGAAAAAGAATTATATACACGATTTGATATAAACGTTTAATTATCGTTGTCGTTTTCGCTTTCGTTTCTTGTTGTCGTCGTCGTCTTAATCATCACCACTGTCTTCAACATTATCATCATCGTCGTCATTATCAACGTCATCATCATTATCGTTATCTTATTATTAGGCCTAGTGTTTAGTCACTGATGTTATATTTTTATTGATACTACAATAACTATAGATAGTTATTACTATACGGTAATAATGATAGTACTATTGTAATGGATATATAAGCTAATTAAAGTATGTATTTCTTTCCCCTGTAGTTCAGTCAATATATTTCTATGAATTATATCTTTTCAAAAAAATTAATTTCGTGAGTTTTGTTTTGATATATCAGCATGATCTTACCACATCTCGGGGTAGACGTATGAGTCCAGTCACCATTGTTACACATACTACTTTCTTCAGATGTCAGTGCGAACTGTTCAGGGAAAAGACATTTAAATTCGAGGCGTGTCCCGTGATCAACCCTCCTTGTGATCGCAGGATCAATTACCTCTCCAGAACTTAATGCAATAACAACATCAGTCTGTGGACGTGGCACTATGCAAGGGCTTTTGTTTGGATCTTCAGTGATTAAAATGAAAAGAAACAGTATTATCAAGAATATTATACACAATAATAAAAATAAATGATAGGCCGTGTCCTATACGGGTCTTACCCATGCAGTATGTTTCGATGCCCGTCCAATTTCCAGTTGCGTTACATCTTCTTTGTCGACTTCCCTTCAAGTTAAAACCTTCATCGCATGTAAACCTCACCACTTGGTTGAGATAAAACTTGTCTCCCTCGATGGAGCCATTCTCAGGAGCAAATATTTCAGGACAACGAATTACTGTTAAATAAACAACCCATTTTAAAACAAGATACTGAAGTGGTACAATTCCACTTGCCACGTAAAAAAATCGGTGTTTTGAGCCCTCATTTACCCTTCCATAGGTTATCCTATTTAAAATGTAAACATTCGAAGCTCTTAGAAGATGACCACTGCACTGATATCACTGACAATCCACAAGAACTGATTGGCAGTGATGAAGTGAGTATCGCTGCTAAGACGGGTTAACACAGGCAACGGTAAAGCGCCAAGTAGCGTCGTTTGCGTTTGCGTAAAAGCTTCTAAATTGCTCTATGAAGGAACTAAGCTGTCAATCCAGACGCGCACAAATTTAGTCCAAGCTTCGTTTAGTGTTTCACACTACCAATTTTGAGGTCTGTTGACGCAAACGTTCTGCTAAAACCAATCACCGCAGGTCAACTTTAAAGACTGTTAACATTAGAACAATTTAAGAGTTTTGACAAAACGAAAGAAAAGAAACGAATAGCCTTTCTTTTAATATACAGATATGTCAACGCGTCTAAATTACTCTTGTCACCTAGTGTGAACCCAGCTTAAGTGTGAACTTGCTTGAAATTGGACGTGAACTAACTGTTCGCACACCAACCATCGACCAAGGTAATCTTTTTTCACAAGAGAGGGAATGAGACCAGTGGTGGCGCCAGGATTTGCCAACGGGGGTCAGAGGTCTCCGACAGGGAGGCCGACTTCCCCGACGAAAAAATGGGCGTGGTCGGGCGTCGCTCAAAATCTCTCGAAAGTAATTTATGGGGACGAAGCCCCCAAAATATGACAAAAGAATGTTAAAGGCTTTTTAAATCAATTTTGGGTCCACTAATATGTAGAAAATACATATGCCTATACATTTTTTTTTTCTCCACGACGAATCGTGGTTTTCTCCCCCGCGGGGGGCAGCTCTCCCCTGGCCCCCGCTGGCTCCACTCCTAAATGAGACTCATGTAATAGTAAAACACCGGGGCTTGCGATTGAACCAATCATCGATTGAACAAATCATCTTAGTTTACAGTGTGAGACAGGTTTTAAAATTCGCTTGAAGACGACATGACATGTAAGACTGTAGTGAACATTCCCGTATAACACTTACCACATCGTGGATTGGTAGTATGTGACCAGTCAGCATTGCTGCAGACGCTTGTTGATTCGGATACAAGTGTGTATGTTTCAGGATAAGCGCATCTGAACTCCACCTGTGTCCCATGATCCACTCGTCGTTGTACCTCGGGGTCAATAATTTCACCGGTAGATGTTAAAATGATGACGGCAGTTTGTGGGAGTGGCAATACACACGGAGATTTGTTTGGGTCTGTAAAATGAATTAAGTATTTACTCTATAACATAACTGCTTGTGGAATTTGGTACACGGTACGTCAAACCACAGTAATACATTTTACCTATACAGTACTTGAAATTTGAGAACATGATAGCTGTTGTGATGTATGTTAGATCGTTAATGACGTGGTCAATAAAGCAAACATTACACTAAATGATGTATTTCACTTAGTATAGTATTCATTCGATCTGGAGCACGACTGCATAGCGCTAAACCTTTTTTTCTATTCTGATTATTATATGGGTAAGATAGTTATATCATCCAACCCATTAAATTCATTAATATTATCATTATCACCACGTCCTATTAAAATTTAAGGAAATCAAAGACAACCCAAGTTTCCTTACCCACACAGTACGTTTCTATTCCCGTCCACTGTCCAGTCGCGTTGCATCTTCTTCGTTGACTTCCTTTCAATATAAAACCTTCATCACACGTGAATGTCACCACTTGGTTCAGGAAAAATTTATCACCTTCGATGTTACCATTCTCAGGAGCAAAAATCTCTGGACAGGTTACTAATAGTGATGGGATGATAGTACGTATTTAAAATAAATTTACCTTAAATCTTGAAGTTAAAGCATTATTGATTATTCAACCCTGTAAACTACGATGGAAACTGCAGCTGGTGATTTTTTTTCAGAGTTCTTCTTTTAAACTGATTTATAGTTTTTAACTCAACTACCTAGACTGATAAGCTATTCAAATCTTTTTACTTACTTACTAAGAGTATTACTGCTGCCCATTTTGTCGAAACTCTTTTGTCAACAACATCCCTGTACTCTATAACAATTTAAATTTATTCAATAATGGCAATAATGGCCTAAAACTAAAATAGGACTTTCAAAATGAAATATAAACGCGACTCTTGCAAAGTTTCCATTGCCTTAAGCAAATTCGAAGTTATGCTAACTTTACTGTATTTTAATAAATTAAATTTAGTCGTAGACTAGTGAGACTGATTTTAAATTTTGGATTCCATCATTTTTGTATCACAGTAGCATATGGACTAATGTGTAACTCACGAATTTTCTGAGTGCAAACAAATGCCTTGCTCAGACCAAAATCAAACTTGTGACCAAAGCCAACTCGGCCCAAACAACTATACAAATTCCACATATTTTGAGAAGTAGGCCTACTTGTACCAATATTTATGGGGGTTTTTTTTGCAACGCATTTAGCCTAAGAAGTGAGAACGTCTTTTCTCTTGATCTGTTGGAGATGATATAAAAATTAAAGGAGAAGTTAAGCTTGAGAAAGAATGATGGAGATGGTGCATGATTAAATGTTTTTTTTTCCTTTATCAATTTGAATTAGTGCAGTGTTACAGTCGGCCATGTAATTTCCTGTAGTTTACTTGATTTATAAAAATAGGTCAGTAGACCTATTCGAATACTTATAATTTTTAATTGATATACACATTTTATATAGGCTACTACATAATATTACTTAATTATTATTAATTATTAAAAGTTTTTTTTCTTTGTTTTTGTTTTTTATTATATCATATCAAAAACATCGTATACAGAAAACATTTCAAACATAGCATTATAAAATTAATATTACATAAAAAATTATAATTAATTCAATATAAATAAAAGAACCATGAGAAAATACATTCCATAAAAAAGAAAAATTCAAATTCAAAAGTGACAAGTAAATTTTAATAAACGTCAATGCTCACAATAGGCTTATAAATCCTTTTCTTTACCAACAATTTTTACAGTATACCACAATTCTACAATGACGTATTTTAATCGATACGTCACGCACATACATCTATATTTATCTCCATCTCTATGATTCAAAGCAATTCTCATAATAAACCAGGTATTTTGTAAAATAGTGCAGTGTTTTTATGATTATTCCAAACCTTACTATTAAATTTTCTCCCAAAATTAAAAATATAAAAAAATAGAAAATAATAGAATGTTGAATTATAATAAACGTAAGTATATTTTGTTGATAGGTTATTTTCAATTATTTCAATGATGTAATTAATAATGATAAGTATATTTTGTTGATAGGTTATTTTCAATTATTTTAATGATGTAATTAATAATGATAAGTATATTTTGTTGATAGGTTATTTTCAATTATTTCAATGATGTAATTAATAATGATAAGTATATTTTTGTAGTCTTTCTATATAATATTTTTTTTATATTTTGTTGCATATTTTAATATTGTATTATATCATATGTAAAGCGCATTGAACAGATGTAGATCTGAAAATACGCCATATAAATAAATTATTATTAATATATTTCTAGGTTTTGGTCAGAGTCGGTTGGTCTGAATATTGAATATGGTACGAGTTGGCTTTGGTCCAATTTATCTATTGGTCCGACTTGGGTTTGGTCCTATTTGGATTTGGTCCAAGGCTGGATTTGGTAAAAGTTTGCTGGGCCTAGTTGTCGGATATTTTGGTCCGAGTTGACCTGCTATCTTTTAGGATTACCTAACAGACTACAGGACGCTTCTTTTCCACTCCATCTACCAGCTCCGTTGCATACTCGACGTCTGCTGCCGCTTAATTTATATCCTTCATTACAAGAAAACAGCAAAACTTGTTGTCTGTAGAACTTGTCTCCTATCATAACGCCATTTTCAGGAGCCTCTAGGACTGGACAACGTATCGCTTCATGAAAAAAACATAAATAAACAGCCTGTCAGTGTTGAGAGTTGTTTTTATACAATGTGAGTAATTTATAAGTATTTTTATAATGAAAGATACCAATTTAAATACGATTTTGCCCTTTTTTAGAGCTGAAACCAAAAATAAAATCCAAAGCATTTTGCTCAGTGATAGGCTATGAGGCAGCGCGTATGCTAATTTTCACTGGAATGCACACGTTGACCATTAAAATGAGGCCTCAAAAATGTAAGAAATATAATTATTACTACCATTTGGAATTTTGTTACATTTAGACTAAAATTATTACACTTAGGACCTTTATTCTCTGAACGCTCGACTAAAATTCGCACTCACATAGTGTCCAAATTAACTTATGGTTCTCAACAAACTATCAAAGTTTCTATGGACATAGGCTTGATGATGTAATATCAGAACCGAATATAAGAAATTCACATGAATTACTCATATTTAAATGCAATAGTTTGGACAGAGCTTAACACGTAATCACCGTTTATTTTAATATTGAGAATACTTACCGCACTCTGGGTCGTCTGTGTGTGACCAAGCGCCATTTTCACAGATACTCATTGACTCAGTTATCAAAATGTGTGTGTCCGGATTTTCACATTGAAACTCAAAGACGCTGGAGTAACTATGGATCCGTCCGTCGGTGGAGCAAGTGCTGGACACGTGACAACTGTTAAAATTTACCAACAAGAAAGTTGATTAATCTTCAAATATCTATGACGCTTTTAGTGGTACAACTAAAGATATATATGAAACAAACTGGCATTCCTATGCTGTAATCTCTTCCACGTCGGAAGACGCTTAAGTAACGATTAAGTATTCATTGGTGGATCAAGTTTTAGACACGTGACAGTCGTTTGCAAACGGTTGAATAACTGTCTCTTATACACATCTAGATGTGTATAAGAGACAGCTATGGATCCGTCCGTTGGTGGAGTAAGTGGTGGACACGTGATAACTGTTGAAATTAACGAACAGAAATGTTGATTGAAATATATTTTTTGAACATATAATCAAAACAATAGAGTAAAACAGGTGATGAAAAGTAGGCCAACCAAAGGTAACGGTATACTTACGAACACAAGTTGTTGGTTCTCCGGACCACTGTCCGTCTTGTTGACACGTTCTTTGTTGACTTCCTCCAAGCATGTACCCAATGTTACAAGCGAACTCAATTACTTCATTATATGAAGACGCTTCAGTAACTACGGATCCGTCCGTTGGTGGAGCAAGTGTTGGACATGTGATAGCTGTTAAAAATAACGAACATTGATGTTGATTAAACATTTTCAAACTTATAATTACAATAATACAATACAACAACTGATGAACTAGGCCATCCAAAAGTAACGAACTCACGAACACAATTTGTTGGTTCTTTGAAGAGTTGTCCGTCCTGTTGGCACGTTCTTTGTTGACTACCCCACGAAGATGATATTAAATTTCTTAACTTATAATCAAAACAACCGATGTATGTATAGAAGTGACCAAGCACATGTACTTACGAACACACGTTGTTGGTTCTCCGGACCACTGTCCGTCCAGTTGGCACGTTCTTTGTTGACTTCCCCCAAGGATGTACCCAATGTTACAAGCGAACTCAATTACTTCATTATAGAAAGACGCTGGAGTAACTATGGATCCGTCTGTCGGTGGAGAAAGGGCTGGACACATGACAGCTGTTTGAATTAACGAAGATAAATGTTGATTAATTGATATTTTAAATTTATAATCAAAACAATAAAAGCGCAATAAAAGATATGTTCGTAGATTGAAGTGGCCCGATCACATGTACTTACGAACACAAGTTGTTGGTTCTCCGGACCACTGTCCGTCTTGTTGACACGTTCTTTGCTGACTTCCCCCAATGATGTAACCAATGTTACAAGCGAACTCAATGACTTCATTATAGAAAGAGGCTGGAGTAACTATGGATCCGTCTGTCGGTGGAGAAAGTGCTGGACACGTGACAGCTGTTTGAATTAACGAAGACAAAATGTTGATTAATTGATATTTTAAATTTATAATCAAAACAATAAAAGCGCAATAAAAGATATGTTAGTAGATTGAAGTGGCCCGATCACATGTACTTACGAACACAAGTTGTTGGTTCTCCGGACCACTGCCCGTCCTGTTGGCACGTTCTTTGTTGACTTCCCCCAAGGATGTAACCAATGTTACAAGCGAACTCAATGACTTCATTATAGAAAGATGCTGAAGTAACTATGGATCCGTCCGTTGGTGGGGAAAGTGCTGGACACGTGACAACTGTTTGAATTAACGAAGACAGATGTTGATTAATTTATATTTTAATTTATAATCAAAACAATAAAAGCGCAATAAAAAATATGTTTGATTGAAGTGGCCTGATCACATGTACTTACGAACACAAGTTGTTGGTTCTCCGGACCACTGCCCATCTTGTTGACACGTTCTTTGTTGACTTCCCCCAAGGATGTAACCAATGTTACAAGCGAACTCAATGACTTCATTATAGAAAGATGCTGGAGTAACTATGGATCCGTCCGTTGGTGGAGAAAGTACTGGACACGTGACAACTGTTTGAATTAACGAAGACAAATGTTGATTAATTTTTATTTTAATTTATAATCAAAACAATAAAAGCGCAATAAAAAATATGTTTGATTGAAGTGGCCAGATCATATGTACTTACGAACACAAGTTGTTGGTTCTCCGGACCACTGTCCGTCCTGTTGGCAAGTTCTCTGTTGACTTCCCCCAAGGATGTAACCAATGTTACAAGCGAACTCAATGACTTCATTATAGAAAGCCGCTGGAGAAACTATTGATCCGTCCGTTGGTGGAGAAAGTGCTGGACACGTTACAGCTGTTTAAATTAACGAAGGCAAATGTTGATTAATTGATATTTTAAATTTATAATCAAAACAATAAAAACGCAATAAAAGATATGTTAGTAGATTAAAGTGGCCCGATCACATGTACTTACGAACACAAGTTGTTGGTTCTCCGGACCACTGCCCGTCCTGTTGGCACGTTCTTTGTTGACTTCCCCCAAGGATGTAACCAATGTTACAAGCGAACTCAATTACTTCATTATAGAAAGACGCTGGAGTAACTATGGATCCGTCTGTCGGTGGAGAAAGTGCTGGACACGTGACAGCTGTTTGAATTAACGAAGACAAAATGTTGATTAATTGATATTTTAAATTTATAATCAAAACAATAAAAGCGCAATAAAAGATATGTTAGTAGATTGAAGTGGCCCGGTCACATGTACTTACGAACACAAGTTGTTGGTTCTCCTGACCACTGTCCGTCCTGTTGGCACGTTCTCTGTTGACTTCCTCCAAGAATGTACCCAATGTTACAGGCAAACTCAATGACTTCATCATATGAAGATGCTGGAGTAACTATGGATCCGTCCGTCGGTGGAGCAAGTGCTGGACACGTGACAACTGTTAAAATTTACGAACAAGAAAGCTGATTAATCTTCAAATATTTATGATGCTTTTTGTGGTACAACTAAAGATATATATGAAATAAACTGGCATTCCTATGCTGTAATCTACTTCCACGTAGGAAGACGCTTAAGTAACGATTAAGTATTCATTGGTGGATCAAGACACGTGACAGTCGTTTGTAAATGGTTGAATTTTCGACATACGACTTTAGTTTTAACGTTACGGATTTTCATTATAAAAAAAAAAACACCCAATGGTGATTTTAAAAACTGCCACTAACAGGTTTAATAAAAATACATACCATAAATGCTCGAATAAACGCCGCAATTGTTGGAGGCTTTAGTGCGGCGCTTATTCGAGAGCGGCCTTCTAAAAAAAAATATTGGCGTGGCACTTTCCATGCCTGCTGTTCCAATGTTACCTACAGTATCTCACGTATTCCCGTAGTTCAGCAGGCCTACATGATCATTATCGTAAATAAGTGTTTTCAAAGAAATGCTTGTGTCTCTATTTTGTTATATATTCATTTTAAAACTGTATTCATTGTATTTAAAACCATGTTTCTCAACGTGTTTCATTACACACAGGGTAACACTCGATAAAACGCCGCGCCGCTTAGCGAAAACAATCAGGGTTGGTTGGAAGCATATTCGAGGGCGGCGCTTATTCGAGTATTTACGGTACACAGAATAAGACATAAATATAATTTATATGAATTAAATAATCAAGTGGAAATAACAAATACAGCACAGTAATAACATAATAATATTTACTAATAATGCATTCGTGTAGTTGTGCACCGTCGGTACTTCCAAGATTTTACGTTCTCGACGGACGTAACAAAAGTTTTAAATTACGCATGCGCATTTGAAAATTTCTCAAAATAGGCGGAGCTATCGTGCATGTTGGCCGCCAAAAAGACTCTACTACAGGTATAATTCAGTGGGGTCTTTATGACACAACATTAAAATAAAATTAGTGCGCCATATAAGGGAAAAATATACTACGGCTGTAGAGGTCGTGAAAGCGAGGGGCCCACTTATGAACCAAAACATGAATTATTATAATCTGTCACAATTATTCTTCAAACAGGTCAACGCAATATACCACAGTACAGTTTGTTGGGGTAATGTGCTACATCTTTTGACTCTTTTTGAACTTACGTTCGCATGTTGTCTCCGTTCCAGTCCACTCTCGATTTGCTTGACATGTTCTTTCACTGCTGCCTTTTATGTCGTATCCCAGATCACATGTAAAATTAACAACTTGATCCAGATAAAAATCCGTCCCTATTATTTCACCATTGACAGGGGCAACCAAGACAGGACACAAAACCACTGCAAACATGAAATTACAGACGTAACAATCTAATCAGTTATTCAAAGGGTATGGCTATATTTGTTACACATTCATTATTTATTTGTTTTGATTTTTAATTATAAAAAATATATCAGTTTTGGTTTTCAATTTTTTGTAGCCTATCTGATTATTCGTATTTTGTAGAAACCATTGTTTAATGCGATATTTTGATTATTAATATTGTATTACCATAAAATGTAGGCCTATAAGTAAGACGGTGAAATATTCAGGATAATAATAGGCCTATTGATATAGGCCTAGTGATGATTATGATAATAAAGTTAATGATGAAGGTAATGATGACGATAATAACATAAAATGGTTGCTTTTTGTTTTTATGAGCAATCATGTAGTGTCTATGCTAACTGCATACAATCAATAGCCACCATACATGATCCAGTATCATGGTTACAAAGACAAGTACCACGGTTACAAAGACAAGTACCAGTAGTCATCACGTCACATAGACATAATTCTTGTAGGCCTAGGTTCCTTACCACACATCGGTTCTTGCCCCAACCACTGTCCTTGGGCACACGTACGCATGCTCTCAGTAATGAGATGAAACTGAGCCTCATCCTCACACGAGATTTTGATTTCGTACCCCTCCTGGAAAACCTGCTGCTGTGATGACGTAAGAGGGACGTCCCCTATGATCAGAATGACGACACCAGCAACATCGTTCGGTCGACTGCAGCTCATTTCTCTGTCAATCAGTACTAGTGGTAAAAAAGATATCAAATTATAAAGAATTCATTTTGGCCAGATTACAAGAAACAAATACAAAATAAATGCAAAATCAAAGTTCATTCATTTGCGCAACTTTTTTTATCTTTAGCGATAACCTAACTCAAATACAAGGTATCAGTAGTGAATAAGTGAGACATGCAGGGCTAGTAGTATAGTCATTAAAGTTCTAATTAATGAATGGTTGTATGGAATTTAGGCAAGTAAAATGGAATAGAACTGCGGCAAGGAGGCTTTCTTACTGCAGTGAAATTGACGCAGCTAGTACACAAAAATCGTTTTCTTTTTAACTTACCACAATTTGGGAATGGTGAAAGAGACCATTTACCGTCTACACAGATACTTTCCCTGGTTATCTCTCCTGATCCATCTCCCAACACGTGATCGTCATCACATATGAGCTGCACGCGGTAATCATGATTAAATGAGCTTCCCGGGGCAAGTGGACTACTACCCAGTTGACCATAAGCGTAAAAGGCTCCGTCGTTTACTTCTGGTATTGTACAACTTTGTATTATAACAGGCATTGTGTACGTTACGACTGGAGTTGTTGGTTCTATAAGAACAGAGAGTGAAGAAATGCTATTATAACGACAAACGGTTTACATGGAACGGACGGGTGTGTGTGTGTTGTGATATGATACTTTTCAATTGAAATTTAATTAGGCCTACTTAAATACAGTATACAAAGTCAACAATTCAAGTAGGCCAACACAATATTATCCTTCAAAGTTATATTTATTTATGTTTTTATATAATAACCTTATTTTGAGTGGGCGACCCTTAGAGAACATGTCTGATGTTGAGGGACCCACTGAACACACTGTAATTGTTTTTGTTTTTTGGGTTTTTTCTTTTTTTAAGAATTATTAAATGCTATATTGATATCTCACCAAAATAATATTGCAGGATGCTTTGCATCCAGTCGTGATGACGATAAATCCGCACATAGACACCCGGGACGCCCTCTCGAGCACATCCAACTCCCCAGCTGACCAGACCTACCAGCTTCCATTCACCGGTCTCTGGGTCCTGGTGGTAGTGAGAAAAGTACGGTAAATAACGTAAATAATCATCTGTTGGGAACATTTTACTCATGTTTTTGTTAAATAAAATTTGATAGTCTGGACAGGGCTTTACGAACAATTCAACATTTTCAATTCAACTTTAGGATTTGTTGATGATTAGATCTTGATAACCATGTGTGTCATTATGCACTTACCAGGTACGTTACTGGGCCACCGCTATCGCCGTTACATGCATCTTCACCCTCATTCCCTCCCAAACAAAACATGTTGTCGGTGACAGTGTCTGTATGAGCTCGACGGCACACCGTCTGACCAACAACAGGTAACTCTACCTGAAGCATAGAAGATGTATATATTACAGAATGTGAAGTTTTTGCCACAAATTCTTTCACACCGTTTCTTGATGGCCAATTTTAGGACTACGGTGCAAAAACATGAACATTCATATTCAACATTATGTGATCGTCTTAGTTAAATATATAAGTGAAATTTATAATATAAATACAAATTAATCTGAATTCAAATAACAAATGCTCACCTTCTTAAGAAATTTTGACAGTGTCCCACCCTCTCTAATTCTTCCCCATCCAGCAACGGTAAAAATGTTACCTCTATATGTATATATATACATATATATATATATATATATATATATATGTATATATATGTATATATATGTATGGATATATATATGTAGTATATAAAATAGTATATAAAAACAATTATTTCACTGGCGCAACTATATTACGGTATGATATCCGCCAGGAGATATATTTTTTCAGTCGTGTAAGTTTGTGAGTGTGTAATGTTTTGGTGTTTTCGTGTGGTTTTTTTTTTGTGTGCGACATATCTCAAACGGCTGCACAGACATAATTGAAAATAATAGGGGTTGCTTGGTATAACCCAATGAAGAAATGATTAAATTTTGGTGACGGTCCGTAGTAGGGTGTGGATGTGATGACCATTTAAACGGATTTAAGAGCAAACGACCTAGACAAGATATTTTCAAAACTGATATGAATTAAATTTTTGTGAAAGTTTAAACAAGTTACAAGGAAGAAATTATTAAGTGTTGGTGACAATCCAAATTTGGATGTGAACTTGAGGGTGACTTAAATTTTAAGGTCCTGAGTGTTTCTATGGAAACTAGGAACATATTTGTGGAGATTTATTTTATAGAAAGTAATTTGAGGTGGGCGGAGATATGCTTTCTCCTGAGTCTCTTGTTAAGATTATTATTATTATTTCTATTATTATTATTATTATTATTATTATTATTATTATTATTATTATTATTATTTTTATTATTATTATTATTATTATTATTATTATTATTATTATTATTATTATTATCATTATATTATTAAGAAAAGATACTTTTGCCTACCTGGGATAACATGATTCGTATAAATGGCATCCCTGTCAAGACGTACTAGTGCGATATCATTGAAAAGTGTATCCAGTTCAAAATCTGGATGTAAAAAAACACGCTCAATTCCAAAGGTCTGCTCGTGCGATTCGACGATCTCCCTATCATGCTTCCCAAGTCGAACATTTAGACCGGTAGGGTTGTCAACGTACTGATATACGCAGTGGCCTGCAGTGAGTATCCATCTTTGGTCCAGCAAGGCGCCTCCACAGAAGTGGTCATTGAATGGTAGCTGTGTAAAGGACACGGCCCATGGAATTGACCCTCTTCGAACGAGATCACCACCAACTATCCTGTAATCTTGAAAAATAGGCCTACCGCATTCGTAATCATCTAAAAGATGAAGAAATCCATCTTATTATTCCTTGACATCACAAACGACAATAAGGTCTATCAGATAGATAATTTAAATTACAAATTAATTGCAAAGCCGCTAGTAAAATTATCATCATCATCATCCGTATGGACCACCAAAGAAAAATTAGATCAACGTCTGAAGCTTGAAACATTATTTATATAGAGGTTCTTACAGTAGTTCACATTTGTGAGAGAACGACAAACCTTGGTGTCAGTTCAAGGTGACTTTTACCTAAAGCTACTTCCATCATTCTTGGCAGTCTACGACTACGAAAATTGCTTTAAATTGACCGAAATATTATATAAAATATTTTTATTATGATCAACATCGGTCAATGAAAAATATGTCATATAATAGAGTATAGACAAAAAAGGATAGAGTATATAGACACTTTTTAAAAATAAATCTCTCTGAACCTATGCGAATGCATGTTGGAACGGTGCCGGACCAATTTCCATCTGGTTGACAAGTTCTTTTTGCAAGAGTCTGGTTTGAGAGACGATATCCATCACGACAGGAATACATTGCAACAGCCCCAATAATCCTAGACGAAGGCTCCACATCAACAAACAGGTCATTGTCATCCACAAGTTCGTCACATGTCACTATAAGAAAAACAAAAACGCTGTAATCTCAAGGTAAATTATACAATATAAACCGGGGAAAAGTAACACTAGCCGAAACAAAAATTAAAAAGAATAGCAAACAACAAGTAACATGATAGAGAAAAAAAAAATTTCGCATTAGAAAAAAAATGTTTCGTGTGCTCCTTACCAGCATCAACACAAGTTGGGGCTGTACCGCTCCATTGGCGATCTCCTTGACAATGGCGCACAGGGTCACCTTCGTCTGACAACATGTAACCGGTGGAGCAAGAATACGTGGCGGAAGCCCCGAACACTATGGGTCTCGGGGTAATAGTGACGGTCAGAATGGCGGTTGTGTTGAGCTCTGCACAATATTCTGTTCTCTCTGTTGATTTTTCAAATACGTAAAATAATTAAACACAACATGGAGATATGAGATATATTCACAGCTATAATGAGCTGCACTTGAGTACAAAACATCAGAATTGCAGCATACCTGTAATATCTATCAAAATATTGTTTGAAGGTTTGAATGGCAAAGTAATAATGTGTATATGCGGTACACCACGATAGAACAGGTTTTTTTCCAGAACTAAAACAACAGTTACTAAATTAGAATTATCAAATATTTACCACTTTGACGGTGAGTCCAAGAGACAAACAATGTTCGAGAAGTTCAGTTATCTGAGATATCTTTGCAAATGCTGACATATGGTCAAATATGATTTAGGCCTAAGTGAAAGTAATGAGTATGGTTCACCGACTCTCTTTGTTGGTCTGTCAGCTGTCTTTTTTTTTAATGCTGCAAGCAAATTTGTATTGTAGATCCATTAACTAAGTAAAACACACCAAGAACCATAAGGTTAGAAAAGGGAGTTATTTTATTGGAATCGACATTTAATTTAATAGCAATTAATGTGGAATAATTTTTAAAGTTGTGAAATAAGAATCATTCCATACTTGTTTCGTAGGTTTATCAAAACCAGTACAACTTTATAGATTTGGAGCAATGGTTGCGCCAGAGCAGGTCGGGGGGGGGGGGGGACGACCCCCTTCCCATTTGCTAGACCTGGCCCCCGCCCCCGAAAAACCACAATTCGCCGGGAAGGGAAAAAATGTAGGCCTATATGTATTTTCTACATATTAGTACTAAGTAGACTCTAAAATCGTCCAGTAAATCAACAACACTAAGAAGAGGAGACGGCCTGGAATATTTTTGACAAACCAAATGTCGTCTTGATAAGCTGACTTTCTGTTCTGTTAAGTTTCTGACTGGAGCCAGTGATTATATCAAGTAGATTTACATTTAGAACCGCAGATCAAAATTTGATCGGTGTAAGAGATTGTACATGTATATTTTATTTGTTGAGTTTTTTATTGGCTGTGGGATCCACTACTTTCTAACTCGGACTTTCATTTTGAAGTATAGGTCTATTGGATGTAATCCCGAGCATTTGGGAAAGGGAAAGTACAAACAGAATTTTACTAGGTAACTCCATGATTTTTAAGCAAAATTTGTTTATATAAGACCAGTGGTTCCAAACATGGGGTCCGCGAAAAATAATTGGGAGTCCGGCAAGTAAAAGGGTCAGCAGGGGGTTCGCAAAAATGTTGGGGTCCGCTAGATTGTGACTAATTTTTCATATTTCCATTATTATTTTTTTTTTGTCTTATAACAGTGTCATAAACATCTTACTGCTAATCATTAGGTGCCTATAAATAATGAAATACCTTTGACATAGGCATAGGAATTGTTTTAACTGACATTATAATCCAATATTTGAATGCTGATCTGTTAGAATCTTTTATATTTTCTGTATGCTTTATAATGTTTAGTATAGGAGAGCCACTTGGTAGTGGCAATCCTCAGGTAATTATTATCTTTTTTGTATGTTTTACCTGGATATTAAAAAAAAAATCAGCAGGGAGCCCTAAATTCTACAAAATTTGAAATAAATGGGAGATAAATGAAAATTACATTCAAATCGAGTCTGACAGTGCCATAAACATAAATATTTCCTACCTCATCCCCAACAATGGCGGGCCTGAGGTGGTTTCTATTCTGAGGATGCTCCTCTGTTTAATATTGTACTTTTGTGGCGAATCATCTTCTATCTATAATCTTATTGTTGGAATATCGAAAGTAAGTAATACTTATACATGGGGTCACGATTTTTGTGCCGAGGGGTTCGCGAATGAAAAAAAGGTTGGGAACCACTGATATAAAACGATTCATTCGTTAATTTTCGCACCATAGGCAAGTTTCTTAATATCTCTTCACCTTAAAACTCCACATTATAAGGTTGAATTATATAAATTGTAAATTTAACTACTGTATCAAAAAAAAAATATGTATCACCATGGCGTCATACAATCTTCAGAAATATTCCACTGTACGGTTAATAGCGATAATCACTTAGACGCGCGCCTTTGGCGTTCGCCTTTACAGGAAATAGCATCTCAAGTGGTTAATCATATAAATGGAGTCAAGAGCTATTCATCTATTCAAGGGTATTCCTTCTTCCACTAGAAGAGATCCGGTTTGCAGATGATACTTAGTCCTACAGGTTTTCTTAGAATCAGTAAAATATAGGCCTAATCTTGAAATGTTTTGTTTTCAGTTATTTGATTTTCGGGACAATTCCCGAACCTAAACATGCCAAAACATGAATTTACTATCTTTTATTTATTTACTTGTTATTGAAAAGATAAATAAAACCATTGGTCCTGCAGTTTACACGCATTTAAGCCGACTTCTGAAATCAAAATGGCTGCCCTTACGTGTTAATATGCACGTCTTTCCGCAGATACCGTCACAAACGCACTCTCTTCGAACATTATCGCACAAGCCTGTCTCTTCGCATAGCTGAGGAGAGCATCCTCGTCCTGTAGCCAGCAATGCTGCCTCGTCTCTGGGACAATCTTGACCTATATTGAACATAGTAAATCAGTAAAAACAGTTTAATAGGGCACTGATTAATATGAGCTTCCAAGTGTAAATTTATTATTTAACACAATTATTTATAGGGTCTATATAATTCATTATTTAACATATAATTGAATAAATAACCCATTATAGATAGCCCACAGAACGAAGATTACATATACATACCGGGCCTATATATATATATATATATTATAATAATAAAAATAATAATAATAAAAATAATAATAATAATAATAATAATAATAATAATAATAATAATAATGATAATGGTGGCGGTGCTGTATAGGCAAATATAAATACAGTAAATAACGAGTCAGATGGTATCAGTATATGCCATTATATTTATTTGAAAACTAAAGAGTACTATAAGTCTTTATCAAGCTATGATAAAGACGTATAAGACATAGTTAGCCGCGGCGCATAACAAAAATCTGGAGGTTCGGTCCTTGATTCGAGAGAGTTTCTTATTCGAGGCCGTTGTTAGAATGGTACGTTAAGTTGTACACAGGCCTATCTGACCAATTATTTGGGGTTTTTTTTAATGAGAAATTCAATGATTGACTTGACTTGTTGAGATTTTGCCACAGATTATAGGGCTAGATCTGTTTAAAAGTTGTTTCCGCCCCTACAATAATGTGAATCAAACCAATTCAAAAATAGTGGTTCTATACTGAAACGTTTATGGTATGTCCGAACTTTAAATTTCAATTATATGGTACCATTTTCTTTTAATCTAAAAACAGATATTTATATTTCCTATTTAACTAATAATTAACTTATTAATATAGGCTATCATATTATATATATAATTATATATATATTCCTATATGCAGCACCACAATTGATTTTGATAAATAAATATATATATATATATATATGTATTGTCACACTTGAATCTGTCTCTTATACACATCTAGATGTGTATAAGAGACAGTATATATATATATACAATCATCTACAAATCTAAATAAAATATAAAACTGCGGGATTTCGCGAATTTGAAAGTAATTAAAACAAACTTACCAAATGTGGAATGTACCAACAGTATACAGTAACACGCCAGCAACGTAAGCATATTTGGCTTTGAAATACAGCCAATAAGAGTATAAAGTTAATATCCCGATTGTTAAAAATATTGTTCGTATATGTGGCGATGTAACTAATCACACTACGTTCCTCGTCTTGAGGGCTAAAATTGACACTACTGTAAACGCCCGTGATACTATTAAGTTGTCAACACGTAAAGTAAATGTTTTGGGATTTTTGCATTGGTCTTTTATATCTAAGATACTTAGTGGTCAATGCCCGGATGTTGACATTTGCCTGATAATATGTGGATTAAAATATTATATCCGTCAAGATTAAAGATTATGCAAATTTATCTTACTGATACACGGCATTTACTAAAGCAAATCTTGGAAGAAAGCTTAAAGATGGTATATTACCTTGACTTCGGGAAATCCTTGAAGGTAAAAAATATTATAAATTTTTGGTCAGAAATGTTTTTTTTTTAATGGTTAATGATTCGTTATATTCTGCCCGGTAGTATAGTATAAACAGTGCTATACACAATTGTGCCGTTTTCTGTCTTTAAATCTGAATAACAATTTTGGACTTTATTACGATATACCGGTACTTATTGTATATTATTGTTCCAAATGGCACATTCAATAAAAGATTTTGAGTATCGAAATTGTGCCTCCTTCTGTTAAAGAACTCATATTTTTAAGGAAATAAATGTTTTAAAAACGTAAAGCTTGCTAGTATTTTGTATTAAATAAGTGTCGTGACCCAAATTTGAGTGGAGGTCATCCGAACAATTAGTGGTTTACGGAGCTAATACTAATAATACAGTAATAATACTGCAATGATAATAATGATAATATTAATATTGATACAAAATAATGATGATGATGATGATGATAATAGTAATATAATAATAATAATAATAATAATAATAATAATAATAATAATAATGATAATAATATGAATGATAATAATAGTAGCCTAATATTATTGGATCTATTTATTAATTAGTAAATTTTAGCCTATTGCCGGATCCGTTTTTCGACTGTTTGACTGTGACTGAGATCACCACTATAGGCCAACCATTGGGGAAGGCTTTGAAAATTTTCGTAAAAATATTGCGGAAATTTATAATACGTAGGACTTAACGATAATAATGCAGAGAGGTGAATAATTCAATTACAACAACTCTAAGTCTTTGTTTTGAGGATTTTCCAAAAGCCTTGAAAATAAGTCAATATCGGCATTGATGACCTGATGAGGTCACATTTTCCACATTATAGTGAGATTGAATTAATGCTGTCTGTGTACAATTTTCAGATCCAAAAATTTGTTCAGATTCTGTGGCGTCTTCTATAAAACGTGGCAGTTGGCAGCGACAGTGAAGAGAAAGTGGGGCTTCCTCTGCTCCCCCTGACAGGACAACCTCCAATGACACGACTCGTCGGACAAAATCATTATAGAGCAGTTAATGCCATAGGCAGCTATGGGACAGTCCCACACAATTTTTCTTATGGGTCCTCAAAGAACGGGGTCCACATTTTGAAAAAATGAGTCCAAATTATGCAATTTCATACATAATATAGGTCCACTTTTTGAAAATGCTTCCAGATTTTTCATACTTAGCCAAAAAATGGGTAAAATTTTATGAAAATGGGTCCAGATTTTTCATATTTTTGCGTAAAATGGGTAAACGTTTAAGCAAATGGGTCCACATTATTTTAATTTACGCGTAAAGTAGGTCCACCCTGATATACCCGCACTGTTATAAAATCTTGGCTACGGCATTGAGAGTAGTAGATTACACAACACACAATGAGAGATGGATAATAAAAAATCATAAAAAAGTAATGCATTTGTTTATTCCTTAGAAAGTTAAAAATATAAAACTATTGGTAAGTGAATATAGGATTGTTAAACTTAACATGGTCAGTATTAAATGTCCTGACACACAAGCCTACATACGGTATCTTAAGTGTGCGACGATAACAGATATGTAGACCTAATAAAACCACAACATGAACACAGATAGGTCTATTATTATTATTATTATTATTATTATTATTATTATTATTATTATTATTATTATTATTAATCGCACAAGACAAAAATCAAAGGATAGACCACAAGATTAATCAAAGCGGTAAAATTCAATGATTACTTGCCTTAAAATCAGCAAGTCAACAAGTTATGTAACTAAGTGTCAGTGTCACACTTGAATGCTTGAATGAAAACAGCGAATTGCAAACAGATGAGGCGTGACGTAAGACATATAGGCCTATAATCTTTGCGTAGGAGCAAGGAGGTAATACCTCCTTGATAGAAATTATATATTTTGAACACGCGATATCCCTCTACCAATCCTCAGCTGTATTTAGGCCCCAATGCCTATATCAACAAAATCGTTGAAAAATGTAACTGATCAATTAAGAGTACTGTGTGCTCGAAGACTTGTGCCAAATCTTATTAAACTAGTCTTTAAGTAGGCCTACTACTATTGACAGTGTTTTATTTACAATTTCGTCCTTTTCGAGGTTGGGGTAATCGATTTCTAACCGTCATTTCCAAATAAATTATATCCCGTAGTCATATCAAAAATATCAGATACATTACGTTACGTACAACATGTGTCTGGGCCTACATTATTTTTATGACCATGTAGGACTATATTTTTGACTAAATATTAAAATGTAACATAATGAATACATAAATAAACGAACAAACGAAAAAAAATGAAAGGATGAATAAACGAAAGGATGGATATGATGAATAAATGAATAAGGAAGTAAAACATGTGGGAAAGAAACAAACTAAAAGAAAACGACCACAAGGACGACGCGTAGGCCTAAATGAAACTGAAACATAAGAAAGTTTTTTTTTTTCAATGTCCTTTTAGCAATCGACTTTACATCCAATCTGGCTAACTATTCCGACACCCTTGGCAGGGCAGAAGCTAAAAAATCTAACGGAATAAATAACAAACTGATTGTCACTGATTTGTATAATTAAAATCTGTAGGCCTATTTTTATCTTGACCTATTTAAAATACATTATTAATTCTAAGACTACCAACCGGAAACGCCTTAGTTGTATGCGAATTCAACTTCAACTCAATTACTTCATCTGGGTTAACTCACTGCACTGGAATGGTTTACTGTTATAGTTTACAAACAAAAAAACACATGCCAAGTATTGGTGTTAAGTAAGTAAGTAAGTAACTTTATTGCTTCTCTTTTATAACAGAGGCACAGCCGTAAAGACGTGCAACAATAACAAAATCAGTAAAAACTTAATTACTGTGATAAAATATAGTAAGAAAATACTGCGGTAGAACGAAATATAAATAAAAAAAGGGTTTACAAAAATAGTAATAGAAATAAAAATAAATACTAATACTAATAATATAAGTAAGTTGGTTAATACATCACTTATACACACACATACATATACACATACACACAAACATATATATACACATATATATATACATATATATATATATATACACACACACACATGCTTACACACGTACATATATATATATACAGATACATATATATATATATATATATATATATATATATATATATATTATACAATATATATATATTATACACACACATGCTTACATATACATACGTACATACACACACAATACATACATGCATAGACACACACACATACACACGCCCCTCCCACACACATATTCACACATACTGTACATACATACATATACACATACATACACAAACACATACATATACATATATACATATAACAGAGTAAATATTGTAAATTTAATTCACTAACATTAAAACCAGACATATTAGTCTTGCAATAAAAAAGTATTATATATATATCATTTCGTTCTTTCCATGCCATCGTTAAAAGTAATTTACAATGATTATCGAAAACTTTACTCGCAATAGTATAATTAATAGGGTTTATACAATTTGTTGTTAAAATTTGATATTCGTAATGGATTTCTAATTCATCAAACAAAAGATGGTATTTAAGTTCAGGGGAGCTTGATGTGAATAATTTGAAATGTAAATATTATGCAAATAGTCAAATTAATAAGAATTATGGGATTGGTTTTTAGCGCCACGCGTTTAAATATAAAGACGCATTAAAATTATTCCCAATCAGTTCCCAAAAACTGAAGTTAGCAGTAGCGGATCCAGGAATTCGAAATAGAGGCCAGAGAGCAGTGGTGGCGCCAGGACCTGCCCGACGGAGGGGCTAAAGGCCCCGACGGGGGGGATAGTGGAGCGAATCGAGTCTCACTTTAGTGGGGGCCAGGGGCCGCTCAGGGCCCCCAGTGGGGGTCCAGGGGGAAAAGCTCCCTGGAAGCCACGGATATGTGATGAATTATGACGAATTTTTATTACTTATTTGATAGGCGTCGAGTTACCATAATATGACTTCATGTGGCTATGCTTTCTAATGTTGAAATCAGCTTCCAAAATCAAAACATTTTGAATGAAACAAGAAACAAAGAGTATGCAATGTAACCATCTGATTAAGTGAAATTCTATATTTTGGAAATTTTGCATGAAATCTGTCAACCACGCTTTTATGGTCGAGGTTGCTTCACCTATCACCTATCACTTTCACCTATCCAACCATCATGAGGCTACCTAAATGAGCATTTGTCATAACAGAACGCAAATTATTTGTAATTAGTCTCATTGAATTACTATTATTATTATTATTATTATTATTATTATTATTATTATTATTATTGTTATTATTATTATTATTATTATTATTAATATTATTGTTATTGTTATTGTTGTTGTTGTGATGAAAAAGTTAACACAAACAATATGGTGGCTAAACAAATATTACATGTAAATATATTTTTTTTTATTTGTTTGTTTCCCGACAAAACTTATCGTCTTCCCCGACGTGGGGAGGGGGATATAGCCCCAGCCCTCCACCGCTTCCCCCCACCTCTGGTGCCACCACTACCAGAGAGGGACTTTCAAAAATGAACGGTCAATACAATCTCAGCCCCACCATGGTTGGGGCTGAGGGAAGAAAATTATGATTATGGCACATCAGGTGGTAGGACACTCACTGCACGCCCGATTGTCGTCGACCGACGGAATTCAATTGAGAACGCAGCGCCACGACGCTCGCACAACGGATCGTTTTTAATGACGATCGGTTCAGACTGCATGCAACCGGCAATCAGCAGACGGGGTCGCGTCGTCTAGCTCTCACAGAAACAGAGTTGGATTCGTTGTACGACGGTCGTACCGTCAATCGACGCAGTAAGTGCCCGGCTTTAGACTCAACATTTGAGTAGAATTTTCTTTTTTTTTTCTCTTTTTTTTTTTTATTTTGAAAAATTGTATTTACTTTAGCTTTGTACAGCATTGATTGCAAAGGGATTGGGAGACGTAGCTTGCTTTCTTATCGGCTTTCTTTAGGTTAAAAAAACATGGAAGAACTTTGGTTCTCATAGTCTACTATGTTTATTCCATGATAGAGTTTTCGATCATTACACATAAATGTTTATGATTTTTTTTTTTCTGAGGCCTACTGAAAATACAATGGCAAATATATTGTCTCGATAGTATGTTACAATAATTGTGCTGAAGATGTTCCGGAAGATGTTATTTCATGTACAACTTTAAAGTTTTCAAATAAAAGAATCGATAAGTGGGTCCAATAAAATTGCATGGCAATCTTTGCCCGATTGACATAGGAAAAACGCAAGGAGCTTAGGAATAAGTATGCAGGTCATTTTTCATTCGGTTCTTTTTGTTCAGTGATGCCTTTTTTATTTTGTAAATTTTTTAAAATGTTTTAATGATTTTATTGTTGGAAAGAAAAGAAGGGAATGTAATTGCGGAGATGGATTGGTGAAAACAAAATTAAATTTTACATAATTTAAGTTGATTTTATACCTCAATACAAGATAATGTATTAGTTTTTATCACACTTCAATTTGATGATGAGGCCTAATGGAGCTTACTGTATTTATTGATATTACAAAGTACTACAGTATGTCTCACTACTATCTAAAATTGTAGTTCGCCCTCTAGTAGCAAGATGACGTCATGTGTATGATAGTGTCTCGCCATCTTTTCACTCCCTTTCAATTTTGAGTCTGCTTTAGTTCGCAAAGGTAAATATTAATAAGAAATGACTTATCGTTTGGACTTATTTTATAAATGAAAAAACGTAACACATATTTGAGATCCATTTTTAAATCAAATTATTCAGTATTGGTACTCGTAATTACAATTTTACACGTACCTCTGCTTCCGATGTCTAGGCCTAGGCTAGGCTAGGCTTTGGTGATTATGAAGGCAAATACCGTCTAAGCCTAGCCTAGAGCCTAGGCCAGCTGACTTGGTTAGGCCGTAGTTGGCATAGCCTATTTTATGCTTAGACCCTGTTTAGTATAGGTGTGCCTTCCTAGATAAAATGAGAAGTCTATGATGAGTATTATCAGCTTTTAAAACAAAATGTAATGCCAATGGAATGGTATGGTAAAGATATAGGGCAGGGCCAGGGGGTTGGAGATTTGTAATTCAGGAGGCGATTAACCCCACCCCTCCATGACATGTTGTTAGTTACTGAACCTGATTCCATGAATGGGACACCTCCCTCGACCTAGCTCAAATTTGCACGGAAAAATCGCTAGGAAAATAGGCGTGTAGAATTGTTACTAAAACTGCATAAAAAAAAACCTGAGATAGGCCAAGGCCTAATTTTCCGCAACATCTGCACGGAATTCCGCCATTAATTTTCCGAAATGCACAGACGGATTTCTAAGCCTAATTTTTGCGAGGAAGATTATTCCCCGAGCAATCCTGAATGAGGAAGTTGCATGGTGGCGGGGCCTCTTGAGCTCACGCCACCATGCAACTTCCTCATTCTTTTTCGGCCCCGCCATCATGCAGCTTTCTCATTCTCAAAAAAGAATAAGGAAGTTGCATGGTGGCGGGACCACTTGAGCTTGGCGCCAGGAGTTGACTGTTATTATTTTTCGAGGTGTTCTCATATGTGAAAAAGAATAGGCAATTTGTCGGTTTATCCAGGTAAGTATCTATTCTCCATTTCCCCTCCATGACATGTTGTTAGTTACTGAACCTGATTCCATGAATGGGACACCTCCCTCGACCTAGCTCAAATTTGCACGGAAAAATCGCTAGGAAAATAGGCGTGTAGAATTGTTACTAAAACTGCATAAAAAAAAACCTGAGATAGGCCAAGGCCTAATTTTCCGCAACATCTGCACGGAATTCCGCCATTAATTTTCCGAAATGCACAGACGGATTTCTAAGCCTAATTTTTGCGAGGAAGATTATTCCCCGAGCAATCCTGAATGAGGAAGTTGCATGGTGGCGGGGCCTCTTGAGCTCACGCCACCATGCAACTTCCTCATTCTTTTTCGGCCCCGCCATCATGCAGCTTTCTCATTCTCAAAAAAGAATAAGGAAGTTGCATGGTGGCGGGACCACTTGAGCTTGGCGCCAGGAGTTGACTGTTATTATTTTTCGAGGTGTTCTCATATGTGAAAAAGAATAGGCAATTTGTCGGTTTATCCAGGTAAGTATCTATTCTAATGCCACCCTGAAACTTGCACGATTTTTGTCCCCGCAATTCAGTGCAATGCATCGGCTATAGACTACCAACATCACCATTGTTTTGTGTAATTTCGACTTAAAAAACGATCATCCTCAAGTCATCATGCAGTTGCTGCATTCCATTTCCAGCTAGATCTTAACCGTCCATGCACATACATACGCCTACTGGGCATAGGCTTAGCCAGCGAGCCGTCCGGCCGTCTTTTGGATGTTTATCGTGGCCTAATCAGCTCAGCCTAGCTTCAGCCCTGGTCTACCTTTAGTAAATTCTTTATATTCTTCAAATCTATTGAATGTTACATTAAACTAAAGCTAAATCATATTTACGTTTGATAAAAACAACCTTTATTGACTGAATGTATGTTGTTTCATGCCAATTATTCGGTGGGGGATTCCCAAAAATGTAAGGCTTAACCATTGCCTACCCAGTGAATAGTTCACTTAAACACGCATCATGTTAAAAACATTTATACCTCGCTGGAAAGTGGACGGTTCTGAGTCGCCCACAACGCATCACGTGGTTCTGCAAATACAATACTTATAATATTGTTGGTATTCGTAACTCTCTGGTTATAATTAGTTCATGAAATACCGTAAAGGAGATTTGTTGTTAACGTCACAAGTTAAATTTCATTAGTTAACAAAATACAGTAGGTCTAGGCCTATCTCTCGATTCTGAAGAACTGGATTAGGATTTACACAAGACTAAGGCGAGAGATAAAGATGCATCTGCATAGCATAGACATGTGAGTAACCGTACTGTAGCCGTGCGCAATCTATGTCTATAACTGAAATATCTTTGTGATAGCTAATTCAACACTATTCCTCTGAAGACAAAATTCCAACATTTAAACACCTTTACAGTAAATGCCCTCTAAAGATCATAATATTCTAATTTTTTCTTAAGTTTGGAAGGGGGCGTGGTCCCGAGTGGGTGTGGCCCAACCATTGGCTCGGAGTCACGCCCACTGGCCTAAATTTTTGACATCATATTTCGTTTTTCTGGCTAAACCCCTGCTACTGGGTGTCATGCACCCTTGATTTGATTCCTACAAAAGTACAGTATCTCCTAATTTTATTCTAATCAGCTATTTTTCCACTAACCAAATATTCTAGGCCTATAAGTAAAATAAAGGTTCCCTAGGTGTGGTTATTTGTATTGTAATGTCATTTTGATCATGTTAGTAAAAAAAAAATGATGTCATTTTGTACATCGGCCGCTTGAGGGCATTATTATTGTCTTCATTGCCATTTTGTAATGTGACAGACATAGACGGACCTATTTTTCAGAGTGTGACTGACCAAAATGGTTTTTTGACGGTATCCTGCGTCAAAATGTCAGGGTAAATGAAAAGACCACGATGCACACTTTTTTGGGGGTCGTATAGTGCATCATACTGTACAAGGGTAAGCAAATTTATTTGTAGGATATCAGGTGGCAGTGCATAGGGCCTTATCACCAAGTCTTATGCATCTGGATGAGACTTGCTTTTTGGACCCAGTTACCGGTATCATACCCTCTCATGCCAGACCCCTTTATATCATTCTTTTTTTAGAAATCTTAAGCTTTATTTCTAAGGTAGGCCTACTGTACTGCTTTAAGCTTTATTAAGGTAGTGTACTACTTGTACATATATTTTAGAACATGGTTTTATTTTTCATTAAAAAAATCCAGCTGTGAAAGTGCACTAATGACACAGAATGTATGAGAGATTATCAAGCAAGTTTGTATAAGCCCACCATTTTTCAGAGGCCTTTAAGCCATTGGTTCATTGATGCATGTTAAAATATGCAGTTGTACTCTTCATAAAAGTAAAGAAAAATTGTCTTCTGGTGTACTACTGCACAAATCACCACTCAAAGGACCCCACTGGAAATATGTCTTCAGATTTTGTGGGTTACTCTTAGGAGTGTACACCAATGGAATCTAATCCAATCTAATTCACATGTGAAATAGTTTTATGGGTGTTGTTTTCTTCTGTTCCTGAAGTATAAAAGAGAATTAAATATGACAGGGTCCTTGGTTTGGCAGCAGTATCTAGGGTTCTCAAGCCACTGCTAAGCAAACTCTTCTCTCTACCAGGTTTGTTTCTTGGTATACAGAGTCATTTCAGTGGAAAAGTTTGGTGCGTTATTACTTTTTTGTAGTACTGTAGTACCTCTGGTATACAAAGGAAGATGTGGTTAGTCTAGTAGTGATAAACAGTAAATTGCAGACAAATAGCACTTTCCAGGCTAACAAATTCTATTGGCACGCAAGCTTTTAACCACACAGTGGTCTCTTTTGGTTGAATAATGATTTGCAGGGGTTGGCTTTATACCCAGGAAATCCCCTTTTCAATCGAAAGGAAACTGCATACCTAATCCATAGCCAATGTTTGACTTTTTTTGAGAGTATAGTCAGGTGTAGAAGCTGTTCAAATAACCTGGGCTTTTGCCTGAGGAAAGGCTGGTACATAAAATTGGGCATAAAGTAGAGGGTGGTCTTATCTTAGAGAAACTACTAATTTTATATTGCCAAAGAAGTGCATACATTTTTTAATTGTTGAATTATTTTTAGGTTGCCATTTTTTCCTGTGGATATGATGTATGTTAAAGCCATTAAAAGTCTTTAATACAATATCAGTTCAAATTACTTTGAAAATTTAGGCCTACTGTACTGACTCACTGTACAGTATTCTCCATGGGCTATCTGCAGAAGGCCAACTTCACACACAACATAACTTGCTAAGGTCATACCATGGAGGAAATACCAAGTTATTACAGTACATGAATGTTACATACCAGATGAAACTCTTCAAATGTTGCATGTTTTACACAATGCTAGATTTTTGTGTGAATTAGTCTCAAAATTTCAGTTAAGATAGAAAGATTCTAGTTTGTTCCAAATTACATAAGAGCTGTGGAATATAAAATCAGGTTAATGGGATCACAGACCCTATTATGTATATACAGTAAGATCTGTGATGGGATTATGATTGTTTCAAATTAACTTAGTTTGTCCATGAACAATCTACTGTGGCCAAATCCTGATAGAAATGTCATTGTCCTTGACATTGAATAATCTGTTGACCAATTTATGTGTAAATGTCTGTAGAATTTTACCAATTCATTTCTGCACATTAGTATTATTGGGACAAATTTTCTTAGCAAACATGGAAGTTCTGTAGAGCTTAAAAACTTTGTATATTGGGAATTACTGTACCCCCAAATGGAGTTGGACCTATATATGTATAAGAGTTTCCAATGGTGAATTAACAGTTGATCAATTGTATGATTAGTACACTAAACAGAGCCGTGAGGTGCAGTATTTGCAAGACCATTTTTCTGTGCTACTATATTGATCAATTTTCTTTAGTGATAGGATCTGTGGTTATTTTAAGTAGTAAGTAACATCTCAATTACTAGGCTAGACTAAAATTATACTCTTTCTCCAATTGGCAAAAATGGAAATTATTATAGATAGACTTGCAATGATTTTAAGCAGACAGTTTAGAAAATGTATGCTTTATTAATTTAAGAAGTGAGTTTTATGGCATTATTTTGGTGCTGTCATCAATGGCATGTGTTGTCTAACAGATGTTACACTCTATGCCATGTTTTGCCATCTAAAACTGTTCCAGTGGATAAGATGGAAACATTTCTGAACAAGAAATTGCAACTGTGTTTACTGCGAAGCATGAAAATGAGTAACTAGGTGTCAATATGAATAGAAAAATATTGGTGTCTCTCTAAGTTCCATGATTACAAGTTAGTGACGGATCCTCCAGGAATTCGAGATACAGTAGAGGGGGGAGGGGCACACCAGTTAGGAACTATCACTGATGGAGGCTCTAGACCGCCATACCCCCACCATGGTTTGGGCTGTGGTAAGAACATTTATGATTATGACTCTTCTAGATGGCTGGCAGTTGCATTCTCAGGTGAAATTTGAATGTAATTTTCTTTCTTTCCTCCATTTTTTTAATTATTTTGAAAAATTTGGCCGGGGTCGGAGCCAGGCCAACTGGGCCCCTTCCGTACCACACATAAAAACAAAATAAAATAATTATTATTGTAATATATACTATAGATTGACCTTTAATTTAGCTCAGTTGGAATGGGCACTTAACCAAGATTAAACTTAAAACCAGTTGATGGCTTTCCCATTGATATTACCCTCTTGTTCAATGCTGGCTTTATGTAGCTTTCTTTAAGTCAGAGCTAAAATTGTGGTTGATATGTATGAAAAATGATATTGAATGCAGTTATGCAGTATAGTACCTTGTAAGTACATTACAGTTATTTATCACAAACAAATTTTGTATATTCCTCGGGATGAAGGAATGGAGATCATTTGCTTGTATGATTTGGGCATTTCTTGGTGATGTACTTAACCAAGATTAAACTTAAAACCAGTTGATGGCTTTACCATTGATATTACCCTCTTGTTCAATGCTGGCTTTATGTAGCTTTCCTCAAGTCAGAGCTAAAATTGTGGTTGATATGTATGAAAAATGATATTGAATGCAGTTATGCAGTATAGTACCTTGTAAGTACAGTACAGTTATTTATCACAAACAAATTTTGTATATTCCTCGGGATGAAGGAATGGAGATCATTTGCTTGTATGATTTGGGCATTTCTTGGTGATGTACTTAACCAAGATTAAACTTAAAACCAGTTGATGGCTTTACCATTGATATTACCCTCTTGTTCAATGCTGGCTTTATGTAGCTTTCTTCAAGTCAGAGCTAAAATTGTGGTTGATATGTATGAAAAATGATATTGAATGCAGTTATGCAGTATAGTACCTTGTAAGTACAGTACAGTTATTTATCACAAACAAATTTTGTATACTCCTCGGGATGAAGGAATGGAGATCATTTGCTTGTATGATTTGCCAGAGTAATGTATCAACAACGTTCAGCTGATACTTTATGTTCACTTATTGGCACTCTTCCTAAGTCATAGCTAACTATGACATTTTTATCCAAAATTTCCCTATTCATTTTATTCAGATTAACTTTTTTATGTTTGTGTAACTTAAATATTACAAACTCTAATAAAAAAAAAATTGGGGTTTTTTTTTAAGATTTTAAACTTTTTGACATTTTTTTTTTCAGTTAAAAACTTGCTTTTATTTTCTTTATTTTTGTAGAGATCTCAACATGGCTGCAGGTCCATACAACTATTCTTATATATTCAAGTACATTATTATAGGAGACATGGGTGTTGGAAAATCCTGTTTGTTACACCAGTTTACAGAAAAGAAATGTAAGTATATGCGTTTCATCTTTAAATAATAATACATGTTTTCACTTTGGATTCTGTAAATGAATTTCAGCTAATTATCAAATGCTACATTTGTGTAATTGGTGAGCTGTATATGGTCAACAAAGTTCACTCAGGTTATTTTTTTATAAGTAGTCACCCGACCTTTATTTCTAATTCTCTTCGTTTCAACAATCTGTTTGTGCATTTAGATTGAAGTTTAATTTAAAAGAAATTTCTAATCAATAAATTCACAAATATATAAATCATAAGGTAAAAAGAGGAGGAAACAGCAAAAAAAAAATTAATCAACAAATAATATAATTTGTGGAAGCAGTTTGGCAGCAGAAATGATTTGGTTTCTCATCCTTGAGGTCGGTTCAATCCCTCGCTGTGCATTTCGCTTGTGTGCTTGAGCAAGGCACTTGTTCTGCATTGCTTCTCTCCACCCAGGAGTATAAATGGAACTTACTTGGTAGGGTTGCCTGCTACTGCACCAATATTGTAGCAATTACTATGCATGTGGACTCAGTAACCAGGGAAAACAAAGCATTTCGTAACCTATAAAGGAAAGGCACTACTGTATACTGTATAATACCAAGTAACAAATAAAAGGCAAACCTGCATTAAACATAAGAAATAAGAAAGAGAGGTAAACAAAATTTATAAGCAATGAGGAAGTAACTTAAAAAATACATCAAAAGAGGGAATAACTCAATAAGAAGTACAAGGAACAAGATAAAAGAATTGTTATCTTTAATCTTATTTAATCTTACTGTTGGCTCTGTTCAGACTACCAAATAAACTGTTGTATGCACATATATGGTCATGATGTGCCTATATATGGTCATAATGTGCCTATATATGGTCATAGTGTGATGTCATCATCATCATCATCATATTTACGCATGTCGCATGTTTTTGTTAGATAAAATTTAACAGTCTAGATAGGGCTTTATTTACCATGTGTTTCCAGTTGGTGTGCATGTCTTCCTTGATTGCTATTTGAACAGTTTATGTAAAAATTACAGAGATGACACAAATATATGTCGGTAAGCACAAGTGACGGTATAACTCCACCAACTAACTTTTAAGTATTTTCATGCATAATACCCCACATCAATTTTCTTGCAGCCAATAAAAACTGATATGAAATTTCTAGTGTAGAATGTAAAAATTTGTTAAGTCAAAGTTACACAACACGAAGGATGATATTGTTAAATTGTTTGATGTTTAGGGATAATGGTAAACAGGAGAAAATACTTGACAGTAGTCAACTCAAACAAGTTTGAATGTTTAGCCTATTTACGATTTCCATGCACTTCCTATGTCCTCCACTTAACCTGTCTATTCTATCTGGTATTTGTTGGCCAAAAGCTGAGTATGATGATAACTTGTGTTAAGGGAATTATGTATGTTTAGATCACACTAGTCACATCCTATTTGAATTTCTTCAATAGATACTTGACTATTATAGTATGGCGGTTTATTTTTAGTATGATTATTGATTTTATTTATTATTTGTCTTGTAGTTATGGCGGACTGCCCTCACACAATTGGTGTTGAATTTGGAACGAGGATAATTGAGGTATCTGGCCAAAAAATCAAATTACAGATATGGGACACTGCTGGACAGGAACGATTCAGGTATATTGTCAAGTATTTCATTACAGCTGATATGAAATTTTCATAATGTAAACCGAGGTATCTACTACCAGTATCTTTGGAAGCTCATTTTAACCATATTTGCTAATGAGCTTAATGAGAGCAATTTACACAGCAAATGACCTCTCGTACAGTTTACATAAATGTGCGTGTGATTTTAGTTAGAATTCTACTTCACAAGATAATAAGCAGAATATAATCATGTCTTATATTTTTTCTCATGAGGAAGAATGCTCATCTTGTCTGGCTCTCTTGAGCAAGTAGCTTGCAGTAGACTTAACTGGATTGGCCAGTTAAACGATCATTTAGCTAGCCTACCCGGGCTAGAGGCAGGACCAGCTAAATAACCATCAACAGCATAGGCATGCATTTTTATCACTATGTGGGCAATTTTGGGAGCAGCTTAGTCTGCTAAACTGGTGGTAGCCACTGTGTGTGCGCTGAAACATGGAGATCTCTAGGTCCCCAGTTCAATCCCATTGCTGCTCTCTTTGTGTTTCAGCTGGCAGGCTGTAATGCAAGTGACGATAGCGCACTGTCTTTTGGATAAGATGTTTAAGTTGGTGGTCCTGTGTGCATTATGGCCTGTGTGCATGTTAAAGAACAATGTACACAAGAGTAGAGTGTTGTTTCACATTTGTGGATATGTTGTTTCACACAGGGCTGTAACCAGAAGTTATTATCGAGGGGCTGCAGGTGCATTAATGGTATATGATATAACACGGCGAAGTACATATAATCACTTGAGTAGCTGGCTAACAGATGCTAGGAATCTTACAAATCCAAATACAGTAAGTTTTAGAATTAGAAAATAAGAATATTAATGACACTTTTTTCAATCATGTATTCATTCATTCTTTGTTTTGCCTTTCATAAAAAATCACAATGCAATTGGTACCTACAGTAAAATTGATTTTAAAAAAAATACATAAAACAAAATTGAAAATACAGGAAAACTCTAAACTAATTCCTCCATGATCTAAGGAGGCAGGGATTAATAAAAGCAATTAAAATCGCTGTAGCCCATAAGCTCCTTAACCCATCACTAGAAAAACAGAAATAAGTTAACACAATATATAAAATTATATGATATAAAATATAATTCTCAAACTTTTCAAATAATTAGTAAGAAAAACGAAAGAAATTAAAAATGTGACTTCTAAATAGTTTAATTAAATTGTATCTTAATAGTTTTATTAAATTACTATTAATATCCATTTTGTTAACATAAATATTTTTGATTGGTATTTACTAACTTACATTATCTGTTTTAGTATTATTTGCGCATTGCTCTCTCTCGATTTTAAAACAGTGTCACCATTTTAGACGATCATTTGCCAAATTAAGAGGCTTACTACTTAACCACCAAATGACACATGCATTAATGATGATGCTGTATTCGGTGGGATAGTGATTAACACTGATGCTACGTTTTTTTTACTTACAGGTAATCTTCCTGATTGGGAACAAGTCTGATTTAGAAGCTCAAAGAGATGTAACATATGAAGAGGCCAAACAATTCGCTGAGGAAAATGGACTGTTATTTCTGGAAGCAAGTGCAAAAACGTATGTTTTAACAATGCCTTCTTTTTTTATGTAGTCAGTACTTAAACAATGCCCTCTACATTTTGTATCCCTGGTGAGTTGGGGCTAGAAATCTAAGCATTGTTCTGTCTATCTTATTTTATAAAATCTGACGCATTTGTTGTCAAACATTACAAGACATGCCTAAGAGGTGTTTTACTCCTGGTAAAACAGATGATTGTGAGAGTGATTGGAGCAGCGTTTGTGGTTCAGTCTGTCAACCTTGATGTTGGGGTTCCATATTTTCCACCATGCATTTTGCTCATGACATTGAGCAAGTCGGTTTTTTTTGCAAGTGGCTACCTGTTGGGTTTGAATTCTAATGTTCTCATTTAAACTAATGCAGCATTATGAAATATGCTCAGAAGGAACAGAGCACCTGTTCCACAAACGTTTGATTCAAGTTTGTTTTGTTTTTTTTTTTTAATACAAAAATTAACCCAAAATTTGTACCAGGCTTTAGTTATGATTTACTGGTTAATATTTAGTGACCTGATATCACATAATTGGCCAACCCAGTGTGGTCATGTAATTCAGAATCAGTTGACTGATGAAGCTGTAAAAAAGACAGTGAAAGCTTCAGCAAGTAAAAAAAGTAACTTGTATTTATTTATCATTATTCTTATAAATGTTAATAGTATTATTATTTTTTAGTGGTGAAAATGTTGAAGAAGCATTTTTGGACACAGCAAAAAAGATATATCAAAACATTCAGGATGGAAGGTTAGTAGCCCTCACTAATATTACTGATCATATGAGTAGCACTTTCATTACTAATGCTCCTGTCCCCTCTAGAATTCATCAGCACCACCAGTGGTTTTCAGTTGTTTTCTGTTTATAAACTTGGCTGTTAGTTGAGCTCAATGTGGGAGGATTTGGGGGGGGGGGGGTTTGAGGCCTTAGTGCTGCAGTCTCTTTCCCCAAAGTATGGGATGCATCATGTATGTAATGGATAACACTGTTCATTGTCTGCTTTGCAAAATATTTTTTAGATCCTCATCATCCAGATTAATTTCCTTTCTCTTTCTCAAATATTATATTTTTCTGAGGTGTTTTTTCCTGAGCAGGTGGTATTTCAGTAATAAGTAAATTGACTGATTTTTTTTTCCCCGATATTTTTAGTTTGGACTTGAATGCTGCAGAATCAGGAGTTCAACATAAGCCATCAGCACCCAGATCAAATGCTTTAAACAGCGATCAGCAACAAAATAAAGAAGGATGCGCCTGCTAACGTCATCCAATCAAATATATATAGAATTACTCAGTTGTATATATACTGCAATTTTATCCAAAATGGTTTGAATATGATCAGTGCTGAAACAGTTAAATACACAAGTACCATGTGAGAGACTAGTTTATCTTTCGTTCCAAAACTTTCAAAAATGACAAAAAAAAAATCATCTGTAAAAAGAGATACTAAAATTACTATATGAAGCCAATGTTATTAAAGAGCTTCATTAATTTTATTTATGCTGAAATCTGTCAGTACCTGTATTGTTATGTGTTGGATTTATGTACATTACATTGAATAAGTAATAATTATCCATGTCATATTAGGTCCAAAGGCATCATATTGAATTAACACCATGTATAACACCAAGTGTGTAGTTTGTGGGTTAACTTGCAGAAGAATTAGCTTACAATGCTGATTTTGTGAGTACTGACCTGAAAGCAGTAACAATTTTAATAACATACTATATTTCTTCCATCTATAAATATATTTTTCCATGCGCATCTAGTTTCAGTTGTTGGTTCTAGATCTTGTGGAGTATGTCTGAGTATATATTGGAAGGGGCCACTTAGATTAATAGATGTCGGAGTATGAATGTAATATCCATTAATATTTAAGCAGTGGGGTATTTTACCGTAAGCGAAGTACAATCAGAGTTCAAACCTAGGGTTGAGAGTTCAAATCTCGAATTGATCATACTTCCCTCTTTTGGAAGATTTTGAAACTGATGAATTAATTCAATCAATTTTTTTTCTATTCGCAAGCTACTGTATCCAAATTTTGTTTCTTTTATTCGATACTTTGGCATTAGAAACATACGTTTAAACCTTTCACATGACGATCAGTGGCCAAGCCTTTGCAATAATAAGTTAAAACCATTATCGAACTGGCTCACTGAACTGAATATGCCTTATTGATAATGAAGAAATAATATCTGGATATGGGTACATCAAATTTACATTCTTCATGTCAGACTTTCCACTTCAGATTTATTAAAAAATCTATTAATAATAATTGGAGATGGTGCTTAAGTTTGTGTGTCAATTGGCAATTCATTTTAATGAAAAACATTCATAAGTAATAAGAACACCCCAAAAAGATGACTTTTACATATTGTACATATGAACAATGCTAAGCACTAATACAGGTCTCCCTCCAATTAATGACCACTTTTGGGACCGGTGTTTTGTTGGCCTGTAGCCAGGGCTGCCAAGAGGGGAAACTGTAACGGGCAAGGGTTGGTGTGGGCCCTCAACTAGGAGCGCGAGAAAGATTGCGCTGAAAGCGCAAACAATTTTTTTTTTGCCTGTGAATGTGGAGGGGCCCATAATTAAGTGACCCATGCCATTATTGAGGGCCCATGATAGTAAATATTATTTTTGAAAAAAATATTGAAAAAAAAAAATGCTACCTGCCCTGCTCCACCTTCCCCCTCTCCCCCATTCTCTTGGTGGCATTGCCTTTAGCAGTTTTGGTCTCTAATTAGAATAGTAAAGACCTTTGTTAATAATGGACCACAGAAAAGTAGTCTTTAATTGGAGGAGTCTTAAATTAGAGGGAGGCCTGTAGTTACATATACTTATCTGAATAGTTTTATCAAAATTTATACATTACATTTTTATAGTAGGTCACTCTGAAAAAGAAAGTGATGTTCATTGGTATTGTACTGGCTTTAAGTTGCATTAATATGGATCTTAAAGTTAGCAGCTGTGTTTATATACTGATTTTCAAGTGTCGCTATGTTTGAGCAACATAATTATATTTTCTTTAGCCTAAGGATTTTTTTCTTGTTTCACCAGTCTTATTGGTTGTAACTACTTTTACTTTTTCTTATAATTTGGTTGATGTTTATATCCTTGGGAAAATTAAATGGAATGATTAGTCATATGGATTATTAATAGTAAAAAGAAAGTGAGCCCTGATGTTGTTTATGTGGGATCAATAGAATGTAACATTCCTGTTGTTTTAAGTGTATTACGGAATAGGTTTATATAAATGCAAGTGATAAAACTCAATGAATCACATCAAGTGATAGTAGGTAAGTGAAATATTATATTGAAAAGTAAAATAATGTTTCCAGTGGATTGAGAAAAAAAAATTGACTGATCAAATGTATGTAGCTGTATATACTCAAGAATTATATTGGCTATAGTCTACTGTATAAGTTTTTATATAGAAGAATTAGATTTTGCACTGCCTGTACAGTGTACTTAATCCCACACTGCCGCCATGGACAGCGAATCACAGCACCTCCTAGTAGTTTATTGTAATGTGATCACTTGACCTTGTATGTAACTTTCCTGTTCCAAATTGTGCACTAATTTTCCATTAGTGCATGGCTTGACCTCTGTCCATTCGTTCATATATTAAGTTGCTGTAGGCCACCTAGACTACAGTCCTTTATTTCTATTATTATTCGTCACATAGTTTACCTGTCTGAACTGGTCAGGCTGGGCTAACTCACCTTTTTGCAGTTTGATTCAAATTTAAAACAGGGAAAGTGATAAACTTGTAAAGCAATTAGTATAGTTGTTAGTCTTCCAGACAGTAGTGGAAGTACACTTGAAATTAATGATCCATTCTACATTTTTTTTAAATGCAATTAATGTTTTTGTGTATTAGTTCTCTAATGTATGGTATACAACTATACTAATTGCTTATTAACATAATGTGTCGTATTATAGGATATTTTCGTGTAGTTTGGAGGGAATTTGGCTGGATGCTAATTCTATGTATTCTATGTACAGCTTTATTGGATACTGTTCATTGTTATAAACAAATTTAAATATCTTAGTTGTAGAAAAACTTAATACTCTGTTAAGTTTGGTAATTTAATTAGATGTGAATTAATTACTGTCAAATTATTTCTTGTTCTATTGTTTTAATGACCAGGTAATGATGATGATTCAGAATGAAGTTAACTTGCCAATTTTTCATTTGCTTTTTGGTAGAGGGTAAAACAGTAATATATTTGATGATAATGTCTACTTATGTTAATGACCAATGTGATAGATAGATGCATACTGTACATACTACAGTCACCCTAGCGATAATAAGGATGTCAAGCAATTTGTAGTGAATTATTAATAATATGTATGTTTTTATTTGCATGGACATTTAATATTTTATTGTAAGCATACAGGCCGACATGATGGTTCTTGTAAGCTTCTCTTTTTTTCTCGTGATGGCAAGTTATTCTGATTGCAATCAGCATTGTCTTTCTGTTTATGAGAGGATTCAGTACATTATTCCCAACTAAATGAGTATACATGTCCTCTATCTGTACATATAGTTTTGAAATGAGTACGATGATCATCATTCTGTTATATGTGACAAGACACTATTCAAACAAGACTATATGTTACACGGGAGGCATTTGTTTAACAGACACAATGAATACAGTGTGCTACAACGTCTGTATGTTGTAGTAGATCTAATAGACTAACAGCGTGCATGTAATTATTTGAAATTATGTATATTGAATAATAGCATTGGCACTTTTTTTTTTAATTTACTCCATAAAAAATGTTAACAAATATTACTGGTTTTCAAATTCAAGATTATTAATTATGTTAAGTTCAAATATTAATATTATAATTTTTAATATGTTATTACAGTATGTAGGAGAATATCATTTACTATTTGTTATCCATTAAAACAAAACTTTATTTTAGTTTAATTGGCATAATATTCAGATTGAATATTACTCATTCAATGTAAAAGTTCTTAAAATTATAGATGTTGTTTGACTTGGAAATATGTATAAATTATTGGTATTTTCTGTAGTATGCTTTACAGGGCAAAGCATAGTGAAACCATTATGTAAACCTGTCTCTCAAACCCACACTGGGAATAAAGGGTTTGTATACTGTATGATGATTACCTATGTTTAGAAATTATTATGAGGGGAAAAGATTAAAGCATTATGTTGTTAAGTGCTTCCTATCTGACCATCTTGCATATTGCACCATATATTATCATCCAACGTATTAGATTCATTTTAGATTAATAAACTATAATAATTACTAAGTCTGTGAATATTCTAACTTTGCAAATACAAGTGGATATTGGTTGTGAAAATGTATATATAGATATAGATTTTCATTCAGCATTGAACAGTACAAAATAAGTTGCACTGAAACCTGTGTATTGATAAATTTTATTTAAGCTGAAAAGTACTAGGTATAATTGATACACAGTTTGTTACTATTTGCAATCCATTGAACGTCGAATCAGTGTTACAGATCTTTTGGGCGGGAGTACTTTGAATTATAAATTGTTATTATGTTTGATAATATTGGATCTTCACACAAATTGAATGTATTAATAGTTGATGATGATGCAAGAGTTTATGCGAACATCATGTTGTGGACTTTCCTCTTGAGAGCCTGCTGCAATGAGTAAATGTGCATGGGCGAATCATGATGTCTCAATGTTACCATTTGAATGTAATTGATATAATAAATATACAAATTGTACATGTCACAAAACCTTGAAGTTTTTACTTATTCCATATCAGATGTTAACACGTTGGCTTCCAGCGACAAGTATAATCGCCCACAGGGTGTTGCTGAGGGCGCCAGGGACGAGTATTACTCGTCAAAATCGGGGTAACATTCTAGCGTTTATAACTTCATTGTTATACATTGTAGAACCACAGATTCAACGACTGGTAGTTCGGGGAACATACACCTAGACGATAATGTGCAAATGACGTATGTATGTTTGTTGTGTTCTTTGCAGGGGTGGATTTACCCCTTTTGGGAGGTTAAAAAAAAGAGGAAAAAAAAGAAAGAAAAAGAAAAAAATGATAGCCCACAACGCCTCAAATGTTATTTTTGGGCATCTTTAACACAACAGGGCATGCCCCGGACCCCCTTGGACATTGTTGTCTCGATCGGCCCAAATTTCGGCCGCCCCTTTCCCCCCCCCCTTTTTGGACATCTCTGGATCCGCCCCTGTTTTGAATGTATACAGTACCAAGCTATGCAAAAAGCGGACGAGATAACTCGCACTTGGCATAGTCAATAAAACATTTTATTATAGTATACTCGCTTCCTAATATTTTCCCAACAATTTATTAGACACATCATTTTGGTGATATATGACTAGATAAAATTTCAAAAAAGCACGTACTGTACATGTAAACTTGTTTTGGCACACGGGAAGGAACCTTTAAAAAAAAGGTCTGGCAGTCAACATGTTAATTGTCAGACCAATTGTAGGAGGTACCGGTAATAATGAATACTGTAAATGATCCATGGGCAGTGCTAATTCCAAATTATTGTACAGTAGTGTTAATGTTATACATTTTGTTGTATATTTTGCAATTTTAGTATTACAGTATTAATTGCTGAGAAATTGGTCATGTAATATGAGTATGTACCACTGATCTCTACTATAATAACTGGACGTATAATTTTAGACAAGTTTCTTTTGGCATTTGTTTATATTTAACGTAAAAATATTTGCGTTGTTAGGGATCGACGTCACTATAACAACGAGACTTCACTCGCACTTTTGAAAACTGCATGAACAGTCGCGTGTAGTGGTTAGATGGTTTGGAAAAAAATTCCTACGTTAAATTTAAATTTATTGAAAAGTATTGCAAATGTCAAAAGAAACTTTTCTAAACTGGTACGTCACTTAGGCCCTCCACATGGCGTCAGAGGCCTCACTTTTTTCTGTACCAGGATTGGCCGATTAGAGATCAGTGGTATGTACTCTTCATTTAGCGCTGCAACAATTTTTAAAGAAGAATTTGGCTAATAAATGCTGCAGTGCTTAGCAAAAAAGTATGTTTGGTGCTGAGCTTATTCAAAAGCACTTATTTGTGACAATCACTTGATCATTTACGGTACTCCAAACACACTTTATCCATAGTATCCATTTTTAATAAATTAATGCATGTGAGGACACATCAAACAATAACAAGTGAAAGGTGCTACATCACATACTTTTTACATCACTAAAATTTATTAATACCTTGTCATTAAGCATTATTACCAAGTTATACACATGTAAATGAGCATGCACCCCTGGGGTAAGCACCGGTAACTTGAAATAAAGGCACTTTTCTTCAACAGTTGCATAGAAGCCATTTAGAACAGAAGAACTTGCCCATTAGCTTAGGAATCATAAACTACAGCCAGGCACATGATTCAATAAAAAAGATGTGCATGCAACAGATCTTTTTCAATGACGATAAGCTTAGAATGCCACTAAAAATCAGCAGACACGGTCATGTCATTAAGCGCCCAGAGAGAGGAGAGGGCTTCGTTGGGCTGATGGTGGTATGACCTGTCCGTTTGAGTGTTGGACACTATCCAAACCAGATCCATCGTACAACACAGTGTGTGCTTGGATTAAACATCACAGGCTATGAGAATATTGGTGTACATTAAAGGTGGATTATAATAATAGCATTTTCCCTCATGCAAATATTCCAAAAGTTGATTTCTCTAAATATGACATTTTTTATGTAGTTCTACAGTACAAACTGGCCTTGCATCCTACTCTAAAATAGATTTCTTTCATTTCTACATCCAGTTTTTCTTAATATATCAATAATATAACCCTATTTTTATTTTCAGTTATAGTTATCGTTAAGCTCTATCCAATCTTCAACAATTGCATAGAAAAGCAGTTAAGCAGACTAAAGTCTGGTTTACTTAAAATCGCTAGTATTTCCAGTGCAATTGACAACGTACCAATCGTACTACGTAGCAATCCCGAAGGCACCCTGATTAGACCGACCAATCAGCATTACTGAAAGCTGTTGGCGATAGCATGTAGTGATTATATGGAAACTCAGCTGTAAACATCACAGGCCACAGCAATATACAGCACATTTCTTGTGAATATTTCCCTATTACAATATCTTTTTAAGTAGCTCTCATGGCCTTGCATCCTACTGTTTCAGTAGATTTCTTATATTTCTGCATTAATGTATTAGATGCTATATTCAATAATATAATCCTTTCCTAACACATTACTTTCAGTTATATATTTTATGAGACAATTACAATGATTTGCTCACAAATGGGTGTGATACGATATACTGATATATGAGCAAATCAGAGATACTCTTGTGACAAAACTTGATAGTGTAGAGTTTTATAATCAACTTATTTACATTTACTAAATATCTGAATGAAACCTGTCTCTTATACACATCTAGATGTGTATAAGAGACAGAATTGATATAATAAATATACAAATTGTACATGTCACAAAGATCTAGGACAGGGTTTTCCTGTCTCTTATACACATCTAGATGTGTATAAGAGACAGCAGCACCATTATGTCATCTTAAAATTCGTACTGTCACAAGTTTACCAGCTATTGATTAAAAAAATGTTGCAATAAAAAAATTTGTTACTTATCTTGCACTTAAATAAGATCCTGAACCTATTCGCTTTTAGATCAATTTACAAACCCACCTTAATGATGTCTTGTGCCTCAGGAAGGTTAGTGGCTGGGTGTCGTTGGTAGACTCTAACCAGAGGCCTTGTTAACCGTTCCCTTGTCTCCAAGTCAGACTGAAGTTCTGGACCCACAGTGTAGCCTTTAGCCTTTTCTGTGGCATCATACCACCGTTGTGCTCTGTGAATGGCATGCCTGTTCTCTCCTAGGGCCACTTGAAGATTTTGCTGATAAATATAAACAAGTTACTGTAATATGTTTTGCAATTCAGCACAATGATGCTGTGAGTTATGGGTTATTCTCCTACCTTTACCTTTACCCTTACCCTTTTTTGTCTAGAAAAAAGAGTTTTTGATTAACAGAGTCCAGTGGCGGTGCTAGCAGGGGCTAGGGGAAATTTTCCCCCAGATAATTTTCTTTCTCCTCAAAAAGAAGAAAAACCACAATTTGTTGGGGAAAAAAAACAATGATATGTATTTTCTACATATTAGTAGTCTATCTATCTATAAAATAAGCCTCTGAAACCCTTAAATTGTCATTTTTCTGGACAACTTTCAAGGCCACTTCGGGCCACCCTAGCATATCCGCCCCA